TCAGTTTCCAGTATAACATTTGAGGGGTGAGGAAGTGTAGTTCTACAAAAAGCCAAGATACTGCACATAGGCATTTAGCAAAGGACCCGAGCTTGAAGAAGACACCCTCACAACACAGTAGTGTGTGGATTACTTAAATGAATGCAATGTGCAAACACAGAAGTAATGTAAACACCGTGCTCATCACATCTATGATTTAAATATTAGTATCTTTGCAGACACATTCATTACCTACCTTTAACTGTTTTTCCTAAAACAAACGCTATGGAATAACATGATAATGAGAAAAGATAAGACAAGCTGTAGTTTACTGCTAAAGTAACCCCATGAGATCTGATTGTTTGCCGAGTGACCTTTCCCGAACACGGGCAAAAACATGTTTTATATGATTTAAATCTGACTAAAAGGTCACATCGTTCACACAAAAGAATCACTTACACTGACAGTGTAATTTAACTTGGCATGACATCCACATAAATGCATACCATGCTTATTATAAACGTACTGATCTGAGGAACTGAACTGAAGAAATGCTATTGTGTGCTATTTTAACAGCTACCTGCCTACAGTCGGTAGCTAAAGATTTAAGCAACTATTTAAGGACAGCAGCTAATTAGCGCTAAATCTAGATCTGATCAATGAACTGAAGCTAATCTGTAAATGTACACCATAGACTTAGTTGCAGATAATGTCACAAAAAAGAAACTGCAAGAAATACAGTATTTGAAACTATACAGGCCTTTCACCATAAAATGCATTTAGACACTGAAATCTATACATAATTATAGTAAAAGCAAATATTTTGATTACATGTAGCCAAACTGGTCATGTATTTAATGTCTGTGAGGTATGTAGGTAACAGATAGATAGCTTTTATGTCCGTACTTGATGCATGCTCAATCATCCAGGTAAGTAAATCCCAAAAGGTTGATTCTGTTCATTTCTCCCACTGAAAACGCTACGTCCAGATGAACAGAATCAACCTTTTGGGGTAGCTTTTAATGATTTCTAATGATGATTAACCTCTCATTAGCAATCATGATTCCTGGTAATTTCTCCTTTCCAGCATAAAGGATTTATTTGGCAGCACTCATTAGATAGACCAATGCTCAGAACTGCAGGGAAGTCAGTGAAGACCTAAAAAGGGAAATTTATACAAGGTAGGAAGGTCTCTTGGAGCCATTTTCAAACAATTGCAGATTTCAAGATCATCAGTTCCACTTGCATATACACAACTTTTAACTTACTGTAGACTTACACACAGTTCAAACAAATGTGTGTAAACGCAAGTCATTTAGATTTGTTACCTCTTTGCCAAAGTCAGTCATCCTCAAATGGAGGAAATTAGTTAGGTTGTTTACTGCAGGAACCACCAAGGCACAAGTGTGCCATGAACTGAAAACTCCTGGAACATCAGCATCGCTGCAAAGCGAGGTTTACATCACCATGGGTTTGGAGGGTGCCAACAAAGAAGAAGTAGAAACCCCTACTCCAAAACTGACACCTTCAACCTCAACTGACCTTCTCAGCTGCACACGTGTACAACCCAAGTGATTTCTGGAGAAACGTTTTATGGTGAGACAATACAAAGATTGAGATTTGGCCAAAAGAGGAATGTTTGGAGGCTTTCAGAAATAAGAACACTGTGCCAACTGTAAAGCACGGTGGTGGTAGCATCATGCGCTGGGGATATTTTGCTTCCAGTGGTACTGGTACATTGCAAAATGTGAATGGAATAATGAAGAATGAGGACTACCTCCAAATTGTTCAACTTTATCTCAAATCACACACGCAAAACCAAAACGCAGGCTAATATTAGGCTTCTAGAATAGCCTTCTCAAAGCCACAAACTTATTCCTATTTAAAATTTGTGGACACTGAAAAAAAGCTGGTTCCATGGTAGTAAACCAACCAACTGAAAGAAACTCTACCTAATCCAAGAGGATTGGTCAAATATCCAGCCAGAATTATGTCAGATGCTTTTTGATAGTTACCAAAAGTAACTAGTGCAAAATGCTAAAGGAAATTTAACCAAACCATTCATCTAATATTCATTTAACCAAAATGAATATTAGAGTCTTTATGTATCATTTTGTATCATTTTTTTTTTTTTTTTTTACACACAGTATAGTATATTCCATAAAATAATCTGGTGTCTACGTTCACGTGCAACTGGCCTCATACTTATTGCTCTTGTTTTTTTTCCTTCCTTTTTGTAAAATCAATTAGTTGTCATCTTTGCATTAAATTTGTTTATGTAGATTGTACAAAGATATATTATGCACCCTCTATCTGCACTAGGATTACAGTGATTTTTTACAGTGGCTCCATCATCTGTAAACAAGAACTCAGACACACACAATGCATGTGATGAGATAACCCACCGGCACACAAAAAATGACTATCAGCGCTGTATTGTATTCATGGTCTGCACTGATAATGTGATCCTAAATGATGCAGTCATTTGATTGAGCTGATGAAGTCTTTCAGAAAGGAAATAACCAAGACAGAGTGAGCTGTCTGCTAGCTTTACCCTTCATCAAAAAGAACATTTTGTGCCTGTTACAGACTAAGACCTGAGCAAAAGTGAACCTTCCTCGACACAGAGGTGGTACTGAGCGTCGTCCTCCCCTATAATTTACCGCAGTGGGGAAGGTGGGGGAAAAAGTAGGGGGTGGACAATCCACAGAACTGGCAATAAATATCCCTGCTGGGGGAAACTCTTAGCCATGTTTTTTTTCTGCTGTGCACGAAAAAAAAAGGAAAGAAGAAAGTGGTAATACATCAGTTTCAGAAAGTGTGTCAGAAATACTGTACTGTCTCCACGTGAAACAGGAGATTTCATATTTAAGTAGTTACTTAAAATATGTACACTTAACGTGCCTCAAATTAAGTAAAATCATGGTCCGTGTAAGTATTACACTACACAGAAAAATAAAACTGCCAAAGTGACAGTATATTAAGGATATTCAGGCTACAAAGTGATAACAACTAGCACCACTAAGACAACAAAGAAAACAACAAGAAAAGCGTCTAATGGTAATCAACCCAACTCTCGAGGGCTGCCAAATGAAATGTTTTAATCACTGTTAATTCGGTTAAGCACAAGCTTGAGTATAATATTTTCTCAGTAAGCCCAACTATGGATTTCCTCTAAAATGTCGAGAAGGCACATGATAGGAAAAAGTAAGACTAGTTCCTAGAGTCCATTTGAGATTGCTCTTTGAGAAACGTACATTTCCTCTTTTAGATGTTCAGTAAACCCTATCCTCGCCCTTTTCTCTTTAATGTAACATAACCTCTCCTAGATTAACTGTATTTGAAAGGCTTTTAAATTCACATTCCACCTGCCTGAATGTGCCCTTCATAAAGGTTACATAACACAACTGTGAAAACAACCTCTGCTATTTCAACTTCATGTTTTACTGCTGCCATACGTGTTTGTCGGAGCAGAGTTGGAGCACTTTAGTCCCATTAGTCTCATTATTTGACCAAAAATAATGGCCAATACAAGTTTCTTTCCTAAGTTTGAGGTGACGATAAAAAGTTTTCTCACGAAAAAGTTTATCCTCAGTTTTCTCTCTTTGTACAATGTTTTCACTTTAATAAATGATCCTCTTTTTCCCTCTGCTTGCACTGGCCAAACCATTGCTTCATACGCTCAGGTGAATCCTCGCAGAGCAAATAAATCTATTCATAAGGTCTCGGTAAATAAGCCAAGAGGCATGTTTTCCATTATAATGATGCCTGCTAGGAGGATCTTTTATACTGACTTCTTACAGTTATTCCATGAATTACACAGCAATCATCAGCATGCATTACAGCATTACAAAATCCATTAATAAATATTCAAGACTGATGCATGGGTTCATATATATGAACCCATACACACACACACAAACACACGCACACGCACACACACACACACACACACACACACACACACACACACACAC